TGAATAACTCATCAATTTAGAATTGCAACATTTTCCAGCAAAGTTTTCCTTTGAAGTATGGCAACTGTTTTATTTAGTAAAAATAATAAGGCTGTTCTTTAAAAAAATACTTTAAAAGTTTATCAGAAATATTTTCTGTAGTTTATTTTTATTAAATCAGTATTTTGGAAGTGTGGTTGAGATATTAACAAGGCTTTATGTAGAAAATCTTAATAAAAATCAAAAAAGCCCTAATCCATATATAGTAGCTATCCACAGCCTATACCACAAAGTAGACAGAAAAATAAATAATAAAAGTAGCAGTCTGTTTTTCTTGTTTATACAGTTAAATATTTAACATTAGAGGAGAAAAATACCTTTAGGTAATAAAAACATCTGTTATACTTATGAGACTGATTCCAATGCAAAAGTTAAGTCCTCCAAGTATTCTAGAAAAGTCGTATTAGTATTTGAGAATTTTTCTGTATATTTAAGTATCCATTATCAAGATCTGTTTGAAAAAAATTCCTTTTATAAATTACTCTATTTTAACTTACAATGCAGTTTTACTCCTCAAAGAAAGCAGGACAGAATAGAAAATGAATTATAGTAATTTGGCCTCTTCTCCCTCAATTTCTGTTCTGAGTTTACCCTACACAGCAGACTATAATTATAGAGAAAATTACTTTCTCAATTAAATTGCAGAGTTGAAAATGAATTATAGTAATTTGGCTTCTTCTCCCTCAATTTCTGTTCTAAGTTTACCCTACACAGCAGACTATAATTATAGAGAAAATTACTTTCTCAATTAAATTGCAGATATTAATGAGACCTGATTTCACATATCTAGTTAATTTTGGATTTTCAAGAAAAAAAGAAAAAAAAAATAATTCTGCAAGAAAAATTTCTTGACTAAAATGTAGTGTTCACAGGTTAAAAATTTTTCTCACTCTTTTCATTACTTTATTCCCAGCACATAGCACAGGACCTAGAACATGGTAGTTATTCGATAACTATTTGTTGAATGAATGAACGAGATCAATATCTTCTTCAGGTTGGTAAAATGCATAGCATCAACCTATAAATGTCTGTTTTCTATTATTTTTTCCCCAGATAATAGAATTGTGGATCAATAACTACTGGGAGTCACTAGTTCAGGTTGTCATGCACTTGTTTTAGAGAGAATACGATGCCACATTTGATTTGAATAGATAGGTTGAATGCTTGAACAGCTTTTCATCTCATTTTACCAGGTTAGCTGCTACCTTAATTCTGTAGACTAAGGTAGAGTTTTGGTCTAGGATTTACCTGCCAGGATAAAGGCATAGCAGGGAAATCTATTTTGGATGGAAGTGCATTGGCCTACTTGAGTTGAACAAAGTTTCTGTAATAAACCAGTTATGGGCTAATCTAGAGGGAAGAAGTTCCATCTGTTGGCATGATAAGGTATTAATGAGGTCAGCATTCTTCCAAATGGGCTTTTAGAAAAATTTACACCATAATCATTTGGGTACTTGAATGATGAGCTTTTAATTATTTGCTACATCTTTCGGTTCTGTGATATCGGGGAACTATTTCTGCAGTGCAGTGCATTTAGGTGTTCTGTACCTGAGCTCACTGATGGAATCTGGGAAGTATCTGTAATAGGACAAACACATATCATGGCAGGTTACATTACAAGGAACAGATTACAATTATGAGGAGGCTGTATATTTCTAAGAAAAGATCATCCTTGTTCTTAGGCACACAGTGGTACTCTATTAGCTTTCTATTGGAGCCACGTTTTAATAATGATCTTATAAGGTGAATCTTATCTAGATACTTATGTGTATACTCAATTCAGGAGGAAGTTCCTCTTAATGTGAATCAATTTTTGAGAATTATCTCATTTCAACTAAGAACACAACTTGTTGGCTTTCGTTTTATGGAAATTTTCTCTCTCTCTTCCTTCCAATATAAAACCTTACTTTTAAACAGTAATGTTAACACTTCTATTTAAACACTACCACATTTTCTTTGATTATACTACTTCAGTTATATTAATAACATTTTAGTAACCACTTCACATAACACCGTATTCAAAGATTTAAAAACAAATTTTTAGCCATTTGTAGAAATATATTTTATGTGAATTTGCTGATGCTATTCTAACTTAAACTTTTCATTATTATGTTTTTATAGTTTCTCCATAATCAAGAGTTTCCTTGGGGGCATTATTTTATTGTTTTCACATTCCTTCCTGCTGCGTTAAGTTTAATGAGGTTTATCTGTCCTTTAGGTGACCTACAAACGAGATCTGTATGCGGCTGAATCGATTATTAAGGGTATGTTTGGCCTTGTGGCTGTCAGTTCTTGTGTTTCAAAAATGTAAACCAGTTCAGAATTTCTCATGACAGTTTAAATCCCAGCAATCTCAGCAGTATAAATGCCTGTAGGCCACTGAGGTCTCTGATTTATTTTTTGAAAATAATTACATTTTATTTTGTTTCCTGCTTGAAATATCACTTATGTTATATTGGTTTTAATTTTTATAAACAAAATACTTTATTACTTTGAGGAAAGTAGGAGACATTGATACTATTAGAAGGAAAGCAATAAAACTGATATTTTTAATAAATTTATAAAGGTATTATTTCATTTTTACTATTAAGAGGACTGTCCCCTCCCCTTAAGACTGTCATATCAATATATGAGATAGCATTTTCCATATGAGAAACATTGTTTTCCCAAATTAGAGAAATTGGACTAGATAATTCCTTTTTGATTATGGCAATGATGGTAATTTTGTTTTCTAGATATCACATGCACGATAACTCCTTTCTTGTTCTTTTGCATCTATATGACTCTAAGATCCCAGCTATACAGAGGTAGTTTATTTAACAACCAAGTATTTATTATTGTGCTTAACATTGTGCTAGAAATGTAATCATGATACACAGGGGATACTCATTCTGTATTTTCGTAATCTCTATCGTTTAAATCCGGTTTTTTAACCAAGGCACTATCTTGGCATTTTAGGCCATATAATTCTTTGCTGTGAGGACTGTTTTATACATTGCAGGTTATTTAGCAGCGTGCCTGGCCTCTACTCACTAGGTGCCAGAAGCACCCTTCCCTCCCTCTCCTCCTCCTGGATGTGACAATCAAAGACATCACCTGACATTGCCAAAAGTCCCCTAAGGGACAAAATTGTCCCTATTGGGTAACCACCATTTTAAATATGTAGTCTTTGCAAGGTTAAACATGTCCACACCAATTCTGAAAAGAATGTAGTGCTTTCTAGTATGTTAGTAACTGACTTCTTCGAAAATAGATTATTGGTAGAACTGTGTGCTCAGGTTTTGATAAGTGAACTTGTAAACATAAATTTTTATTGAAGTAAAGAGAAAGTACTGAATCTGAATTCTGAATGCATCTGTTTATTTAAAAAATTTGGGAAAACCTATTTAACAATCAATTGTCTTCACATTCAGAAAACTGAAATCTTTTCTCTGATCATGACACTGTATTTGCAGTTTAACCTCAAGTTCTTTATCCTTCAAGCATATTTTGTTTCAAGCCATTAATGTGCTGTAATTTGTGTATCTGTGTATGTAAACAGATCATCTATAGCTATAAATCAAAATGTTGACATATTTACATATGAACCAGGCAATATGTAAACATTACTCTGGAGAAGTTGGCTTAACCGGAATGTGGTTGGTTACATTCTCAGCACAAGGAAATATAAAAATCAGTTTGTTTTCTTTACAAAGTCATATCTGTATTACTTAGGTAAAGTGGAAATCATTTCTTTTGTGAACAATAAGTAGTTCAATGAAGGATTCTACAAATTGCAATACTTTGCCTACATATTATCAGAGAAGGCTTCTTGTAATGTTGCTGCATTTTAAGTGTGATTGCAAAGACTGTAACTTTGGAATTCGTTTGCAGAGAGAAATTGTTTTTCTTGTTTAGGTAACAGGTTCTAGCATGCTACTTTTATTTAAAAAATATTTTTTAAAGTGTTCTTTTATTCTCAAGGGAAATAATCTAACAGGCTGGATGTAAATAGCAGATATAGGTGAATGAACTCCAAGAGTTTTCTTATCTTGTAGAATTCATATTTCTGATAACTTCCCACGAGATTCCGATGCTGCTGGTACACTTAGTGGACCTCTGCTGTCAGGCCCTTCTCTTCTCTGTGTTTATCCTTAGATCTGCAGCATAGTGATCACCTGAGAACTTGAAAGTAGGATCTCTGGCTCCACCCCATTCAATCAGAATCTGCATTTTAAACAAAAACTTTGACTAGTGTGTGTGTGCATTAAATTCCAGAAGCATTCCTTTAGGTTGCCTTTCACAGGCTCACACAGGTCATTTCTCTCTAAATAATATCGTTATTGAATTAAGAACTTGAAGTCTTACTGTGCTCTACCAGCCCCAAATGTTTGCTCACCTGAGATTACCCGTTGGCTTCATGAATTCTTCTAATACTGTCTCTGATAGTAGAAATACCTCTCTGGGCATGGGAAAAATAAAATTCTTGGATTTTTTAAAAAACTAAATTTTAAAATGTAGTATATAGCATACTATCCTATGTGTTAGGGTTATCCAGAGAAACAGAACCAGTAGGATATACATAGATACAGATACATAAAAAGAGATTTATTATGAAGGATTGGCTCATATAATTATAGCAGCTAAGTCCCATGATCTTCCATCTGCAAGCTGGAGGCCCAGGGAAGCTGGTGATATGGTTCCACCCAAACCCAAAGGCCTGAGAACCAGTGGAACAAATGGTATAAGTTCCAGTCTGAGTCCAAAGACCTGAGAACCAACAGTGCCAATCTTCAAGGGCAGGAGAAGATGAATGTCCCAGCTCCAGAAAAGAACTTGCCCTTCCTCTGCCTATTTGTTCTATTCAGGGCTTCAATGGATTAGATGATGCCCAGCCACATTGGTGAGGGCAATCTTTACTCCGTCTACACATTCAAATGTTGGTTTCTTATGGAAACACCCTCACAGACACACCTAGAAATAATGTTTACCAGCTATTGGGGCATCCCTTAGACCAGCCACATTGACACATAGTTAGGTTTACACATTCAAATGTTGGTTTCTTATGGAAACACCCTCACAGACACACGTAGAAATAATGTTTACCAGCTATTGGGGCATCCCTTAGACCAGCCACATTGACACATAGTTATCCTTTATAACTAGTAAATGTTCAAAGTATTTTTCTAGGCACTTCTACTACTATTACCCAGCATTTATTGGGCACTTACTTTGTGCTGGGTATTGTTTGAAGCATTTTATGTATATTTCTTTATCTCTTCTCCAAGAACTTAGTAATGTACAATGTGTTACTGTTTTCATATTATAGGATATTCAAGGTTTCTAAAGCAAATACTGACTTGAGAAGGGTAGAAAATAAATTCTTAACTACAAGTCTCTACCTTAGGCAGTTTACCTTTCATTGTATATATCTATTCTCTGTTGTTTTTCCCTTAAGTAGAGATTGTTCAGATCCCCTTGCCTAAAACCTTCGGGCTACATGTGTTTCAGAATTTGGAATACTTTGTACTTTCAGAAGCTACTGCAATACATCATATAATACATCACATCCCGAGTGAGATTTGGCACCTCACTACAAAATGAAACTTATGGTGCATAAATGTTTATGCTGAATGTGATAATAAAGACTATAGAGCTTCTCGCCAGTGCAAGTTCAGGAGTGATTTTGCCACCAAAATCATATATGAAAGCATTTATTTATTTATATTTATTTAGGTTTTAAAGAACTTTTTGGATTTCAGCATTGCCCATAATGTGGTGTGAACCTGTTTTAGATTGCGATTCAATGAAGATGGGAAGAATGCCTATTTATTTTTGTATCCTCTAACATTGAGTTGAGCTGAATTGTGTGATATGTTAATGGGTACAGCTACATTTTATTTTCCTTAGAGTCTAAGTGCTTTAAGTTATTGGAATATATGGCCCTTTTCTCCCACATTTCCACTCTACCTGATTCCAACAGATGCATGTTGGGATCCAATATATCATACATCTTTTTTCTTTTAAACATAGAAATTGTATAATAATTCAGAGTTCTTTTGTCAAGATTTAAAACAATGGCTTGGATACTGAACAGTCATGCTAGGTGCCTTATATATGTTATCTCATTTATTCTTTGAAATAATGTTGTAAAACAGATACTATTGCTCCCATTTTGCTGGTGGGAAAACTGAGACACTTAGCTTAGATACTTTACTCTGGGTCACGGTTAGTCAGAGCAAGATCCACAATTTAAACTCAGGGATATGGCCATTTTGTACCTCTGAATCATGCAGTTCCTTGTGCTGGCTACTAAAGTGGATACTAGATTGAATCTCTCTCTCTTGGTGGGAACACCAGTGATTCTAAAATTCAACCTGCCTAGCTGTAATTCCTTTGGGTGCAAAACTGGGCCATCAGCTGGCCTGATTTAAAAAATAAAACAAAACAAAACAAACAAAAAAACTCCTTCAGTCTCAATTTTATGATCATTTTCTATCTCCCAGTGTTTTCCTAAGCATATATAGTCTTCTAGAGAGCATTTGCTGGCAACACAGGTGTGTGAAAATATATAATATTGAAATAACAGGTTTCTAGAAATGCCCAGGAAAAGAATAAAAATTCAAAATCAGAATAATAGTTTTAAATGATTGGTTTGGTACTATTTAATTTTTTTTTCTTTTTTTTTATCATTCTGGTAGTTTAATGTTTGTTATTTAGACATAACAGTTTTCTCTCTTCTAGAATGGAATTTTCTTTCATACTGTGATGGGAGTGCTTTGTATTCTGTAGTTTATCCTTCCTGAGCTTCGTTTTTCCTTGAATACCAATTATTGCTGGTTAACAAATTACATTCTGATGTTACTATCTTCTTGTGTATTTAGTTTTTTTCAGAGTCTATAAAACATTTTTTGGATAGATATCATGTCTCATGTCTTGCAAGAACATTTTGTACTCTCAAATTTACTTGTCACCTGAATACCATGTGTGTTTTGGTCCATCTTAATTTATGTTGAAGTCAACATCTTTGGTTTAGTTTGGGAATTTTCTTGTTAGGAGAAACAAATGATCTTATTTCATGAGTACTTGACTTGTTTGCTAACTTCACGTAAGCTTTTACTAGAATCCCCAAATTGTGTTACAAGTGTACTTCAAAATGTTCATGGAAAGATTTGTATTATCTTTTAATACTATTTTTTCACAAACTTTTTGAATTACCCTTGTATATAGCAAGTCTCCAAATCTGGTTTTTATCTTATTTTGTTGGATAATTCTCATTTTTTAT